GTGATATATCAAAACCGAACGTTGCACTTCGGTACCAAGGGGAGCGAGTAGGGGGCCAAAAATCTAATCATTTCTAGTTTTTATTACACCCCTTTAACGCACCAAGTATGAAACCAATTCATTGACCTGTTCTTGAGGTATCCTGTTGATCAACAGAAAGACAGAATAACTAACGCAACTAAAATATAACCTCCTTGACATGTCATGCAGGTACATTGTAATTATTTCGTCTTCGAAAAAATAGTATTTTAGTCAAGTTAGACCACACCGACCTAATTTTATGGATGACATCCTCTGAAGACCCTCAAGCTAGTGCGCGCGGGCGGATAAAAATAAATTCCGGCCAAAAATAAAAATGCTACTAAACCACAGAAATACAAAGCTAGTATGATACTTGTGAATTTGCGGCAGTACATAGCGAGGTAAACGACAAACCGTGTCATGCTGTCGAATCTTCACTGTACTTATGTACTGAGTTCTTGAGTTCTGAAGCTTCGGTAGGCCGAGTGCCCGGCTTCGTATTGTCGCAACTACCATGGACTACCCAGGCCTATATCCAGGCCAGAGCCTCGGCGAACTTGATCTTTTTTTTTTAGCGCAGGCAAAAATCAATGCGCGCGCGGATGTCATCCATAAAATCGTCGGTGTGGCCTTGGGTACAAAATCTGAAAAAAATACCTAATAGATGCTTTTGTATGGACCTGAGTTAACTGTTTTGACCACATCTCAAAATCACCAAAAATTATTGCAGCTAAAGACCTTCCCATGTCTACCCAAAAAGTATTTCTCTTTTAAATTGTTAACAAAACCTTAAATTGAGGAGATTATTAATGTATTGATTAAAAATGGCACTCGTACCTCTCGTAGCATAATTATATTGTTAACTTTGAAAGAAGACCAGACAAAGACACGTTTCTAAGGTATGCGTCTTTCCTTAATTTTGAAAAGATTTTTTTACATTTCGCAAACGTGGGCATGGTTGCCTGGATGGTAGGACTATTAACCCTGCTATGCGTGCCTGCCTTTTAGGCCTTCCACAATGACCAGATTTGTCACGGCTAGGTGTTAACACGTTTATACCAATTCGATTTCGTCCATACCTCTAGTCCTGACAACGTTTTAAACCATTATTGCGTGTACTACTGTTTGTGGGCTAAGCCACAAAATGATTTCACATTTGGTTGCATAAAATTAAACATTCATTAATTTCTCACGTTACATTCTTGTTGTTGTTGGCATCAACTAACTAGGAAATAATGTAGTTTTGTAAAATTTGTTAGAGTTGCGTCATACAAACGTTGGTAATACGTAGAACAAAAAAAAACGTAGTAGCAGTGTCACAGCGCCCTCTTGCAACTACACCGTATTACTGCAGTGTGCCAGATGCAAACTTTACAGTGTGCCACTTGCTGTAGCCTACACATTACAAGTGGAAGAAAAGAAACGTTTTTTTATGAAACCTTTTCGTCTCTAGTAAATATGTGTGAATATATTTGCGGAATACATGCAGTGGTATTGCAGTGTGCCGGATGCACACTTTACAGAGACTACTTGCTGTAGCCTAAACATAACAAGTGGAAGGAAAGAAATGTGTTTTTTTTTATGTAGACTTTTTGTCCTTTTTGTCTCTAGTAAATATTTGTGAATTGTAATACATGCAGTAGTACTGCAGTGTGCCGGATGCACACTTTACAGGGACCACGTGCACTTGCTGTAGTCTACACAGTACAAGTAGAGGTGGAATAAAAGAAAAGTGGAGAGAAAATTTAAATAAACTCTGGTTTGTCTTTGCTACATTTGTAGACACAAATTATCTTCCAAAAACTCTGGGAACATAAGACAAATCAGACACAGTTTGGCCGGAAAAAGGGAAAAGCTTTAATTTGTGACTTTTCCGAAACAAACACAGGTGGAGAAAGGGGTGGTGGTGGGTGAAGAGACAAACAAAAGCAAGACCGGCACCCGCGTACCGTCAAGGCGAATGGCGTATCACGTGAATGTGTCAAAGGTTACGGGCCGAAACAAAAGAAACAGGGGTTTTCTAGACATTTAACAAAAATTCCCAACGGTCAATTTTCCCCAAATTATCCTACAAAAACTCTGGGAACATAAGACAAATAAGACACAGTTTGGCCGGAAAAAGGGAAAAGCTTTAATTTGTGACTTTTCCGAAACAAACACCAAAGGAACGGCCGAACTGCAAAACATAGTTATTTTAAATTTAGAAAACCACCACCTACTCCTTTTCTTTCTCTTTAGCTTCCTATGATATTATACTTAAACACCGCTTGGTGGTTACCAACCCAGGAAGGAACAATGTAATAACAATTTAAAAATATAAAACTGTTACAACTTATAACAGTATAACTGCTGTCGAACTATTCGGGATAACAACCATCATTACTTCTTACAATAGTTCACTAATAGGGAATCATACAAGAACATGCGCAACAAACTAACGGGACCTAAACACATGCGTCAACTTGTAACAATAACATAGCCTCCTCCTAACAAAACCATCTATTAGTGGTCCACGATGTGGTGTAAGTTACTAGTACTACAAAGCCATCTTACGAATGCTAGTCACCATTCTGGAACATAGACTTAACCGGGTGGCTAAGGGAACTTTCAGATACAGCAAGTAGGCGTCCGAACGCCAGTCACCCTGAAGGCGAATCAAGTCAATAGGAACTCCTGAACGAAAGGCAAAGGTGGCACCACCTCTACGTCCACTATGTAGTGAGTATCTAGCTGGGCTCAAACCTGCTCTTATCAGGATCTGCTTGAAAGCCTTATCGAAAACGCTCTGAGTCAAAGGTACAAATCCTGATCTATGTGGTCTCGTGAAAGCTGCGATAGTATCAAAATTGCGATTCAACATAACCACATTACAGTAGGCCGATACCGGACAAAGAGGAGAATTCTTGATCTCCATCACGGGAACGTACAATACTCTCTC